CAGGTCCGCACCCTGGCGGCGAAGAATCTGTTGATTGCTGTCAGGAGGCATCCCCTGCCGACGTCCATCCGGACGTTCATCCTACCGGTGGCTTTTATGATATTCCTGACTTATTCGCGCTTCCTATTCGCCCAGCCAAACATCTTTGGCATTGGACCTCCCCGCCCCATACGCTCCCTGGAAGATGGCATGGCAGCTGCGACGAATGGGAGGGATAAGGTGATATTCATCGATAATGGGTACAAAGGCGGCGACATTGATCGAGTCATTGATGCCGTCTCGGCTCCTATCCTTGCGGCGGGGAAAAATGTCACTCGCCTCCCTGATGGAACGGATTTGGCCAAGATATGCCGAACGAGCTTCAGGGGCATTACTAAGTGCTATGGAGCCGTTGAGTTTGCCTCGTCGCCATCAGAGGGCCCGTATGGGCGCTGGAACTACTCCCTGCGGTTCGACGGCGCCTTTGGCAGTATTGTCAACATGGAGCGCGGCGACAATGATCACCAGATTTATGCGCTGCCTCTGCAACGGGCAGTCGACTCAGCTATTGCAAGCGTGAACACGACTATTGACCACTCAAAGCTACCCAAGACTGTCATGGAGTACCCCTACACGACTATCACAGAAGAGGAGCGCCGGAAACTGCTCCGGACGAAGTTCCAACGGACTATCATTACCGCTCTTGGGATCGCATTTCTCCTGGCCATGGTTGGAGTTGTCTATCACCTCAGCGGCTTCATGGCCACGGAACGAGACATTGGTATGTCCCAACTGATCGAAGCTATGATGCCGAACGACAAGCGCTGGCAGCCCCAGATTGCCCGGCTGTTGTCCTACCATTTATCCTTCACCATCATGTATTTCCCTGGCTGGTTTGTTATGGGAGTTGTCCTCAGCTTTGGCTTGTTTACCGCCACCTCTGCGGAGATCACAATTTTATACCATATCCTCCTGGGACTTTCGCTTACATCGTGGTCATACATGGGCGGGGCTTTCTTCAAAAGAGCTCAACTCAGTGGAATCACCATCACCATCATCACTCTGGTGCTCGGTATTATAGCCCAGGCCTTTGGATCAAAGACGGGCAGCGGAGGGTTGGTAATGGTGCTAAGCGCTCTCTTTGCCCCCTGCAACTACGTCTGGTTCATGATGTATATCGCCCGCTTCGAAGAGCACGAAATTGCAGCGAATCTGAACCAGAATGCGCCTGATCTGTGGAAAACAAGGGGTACATGGTTCTTTGTCTTTCTGTTCGTACAGATATTTGCGTACGCTGCTATTGGTGTGTTTGTGGAGCGATGGCTACATTGCACTCAATCTAAGGGGCGCACTACCGTCAAGGAGAACATGGGGACCGGGCCCGCACAGCACACTGTGGAGCTATCAGGATTCACTAAGGAATATCCCGCGAAGTTTATGAGGCGGATGTTCCGTCGCTCTAAAGCTACTACGGTTACTGCGGTCAACGGGCTGAGTCTGTCTGCTTCAAAGGGCGAGATTATGGTATTGCTTGGCGCGAACGGTTCTGGGAAGAGTACAACCTTGGACGCTATTGCTGGCATGAACCCAGTGACAAGCGGGACAATCACTGTCAATGGAACTGGTGGCATTGGAATATGTCCTCAGAAGAACGTTCTTTGGCCTGAGTTAACCGCGAGAGAGCATATACGCATCTTCAGCAACCTCAAATCAACCGGAGCTTCCCCCACCAAAGAAGAAAACGCAGAACTGATCCGAAGTGTTGACCTGGACCGGAAGATAGACGACAAATCCCATACTCTGAGCGGTGGTCAGAAGCGAAAATTGCAGCTCGGTGTGATGTTGACGGGAGGGAGCGCGGTGTGCTGCGTGGACGAAGTTTCCAGCGGCTTGGATCCGCTCAGTCGAAGGAAGATCTGGGATATCCTGCTTGCGGAGCGTGGAGCATGCACCATTATCTTGACAACGCATTTCTTGGATGAAGCTGATTTACTAGCGGACCGTATTGCAATTCTTTCCAAGGGAACGCTTCGTGCCGAAGGGTCATCTGTCGAACTCAAGAACAAGCTCGGCGGCGGTTATCATGTTCACCTCCATACCACGTCGGTCGATAGAGAAGTCCCTGCTATTGACGGGATAACTGCAGTTAAACAGTTCGATCAGATTACATACAAGGCGGCCACCTCGAGCCAGGCAGCCCTTATCGTCAAGACGCTCGAGAGCCACGGTATCGAGGATTACGAGCTTTCAGGTCCAACTATCGAAGACGTCTTTTTGCAGCTAGCAGACGAGATCCGCCACGAATCGGAGACAAGCGCTGGAGCTGCACCCCCGGCCACTGCTGCAACTGGTGCAAGTGATGCCCGCCTTGTGGGTGATGGAAACGAACCCGTACTTGCGACGCCATCAAGTGATAACCAAACTCTTGATCTGATGCAAGGGCGGCCAATAGGGCTTGTGAGGCAAGTTTGGGTCATGTTCCGTAAGCGCCTGACACTCATCCGCCGCAACTTCCTGCCTCCCCTGGCAGTCTTCTTCATTCCAATTATCTGTGCAAGCTTGGTTACTCGGCTCGTCAGGGACCAAAAAACACCCACTTGCTCTCCTGTCACCGCGAAAGACGCAAAGTTCGAAACTATTTCGAACCAGTATGTCTACGACCTCATCGTCGGCCCGTCGAGCAAAATTGCCGCGATAAGTTCCGCTGGATTCTTTGCAAAGCTATTCCAGGGGCTTCCTGAGGCTAGTCTCATTGCCGATTATATCACGGATGACAACTTGCACATCATGCCCACCTACTCCGATTTTAACAAGTACATTGATGTGAACCATATGAACGTCACGCCAGGAGGCTTCTGGCTGGGCAACGCCGACTCGGCTCCCACTGTAACATACCAAGCATCTCACTATTTATATAGCGCCATTTTCGCACAGAACATCTTGGGCTCGCTGATCAGCAATATCACGGTCACAACGCAGTTCAGGGACTTTGAGAGCCCATGGCAGCCTGGCACTGGTAATTCGCTACAGCTGGTCGTGTACTTCGGGCTCGTCTGTGCTGCAGTCCCGGCTTTCTTCTCTCTATATCCTACTCTGGAGCGTCTGAGACACGTCAGGGGTCTGGAGTACTCGAATGGAGTTCGCCCCGCACCGCTGTGGTTTGCATACCTCATCTTTGACTGGGTTGTTTTCCTCGTGTCCTTGTTGATTGTCACCGTTATCTTTGCTGCCCTAAGCAAGGTCTGGTACCACATCCCATACCTGTTCGTCGTCCTCCTATTTTACTCCCTGGCATCCATTCAGATGGCGTACATTGTTTCGCTATATGCCAGGGGTCAACTTGCTGCATTTGCCATTGCTGCAGGCAGCCAAGCCATATTTTTCCTACTGTATCTGATCGCGTTTATGTCTGTCAACACCTTCTTGCCTGTGGACAAGGTTGATAAAGCTGCCCTTGTCGTCCACTACACGATATCGCTTATCACACCGATGGGGAGTCTTGTGAGAGCGCTGTTTGTGTCGATAAATCTCTTCCAGACGACTTGCGTTGGGTTTAACCTCTCGCCAAACCCGGGGAGCATGAACATGTATGGTGCGCCGATCCTATACCTTGCAGTGCAATCTGTCGTATTCTTCCTGTTCCTGCTATGGCATGACAGCGATTCCGTTGTTTCGCGAATCCGAGGATCGCGGCAAAAGCTCCCAGAATCGGACGAAGTCGAATTGGACGACCACGCAGATAAACTATCTAGAGTTGACACGGGTAATAGTGACGGCCTGCGCGTGCGCCACCTCACTAAGTCTTTCAAAAAATTCACAGCCGTCGAGAACCTGTCATTCGCTGTCGAAAGGGGCGAAGTATTTGCGCTCCTCGGGCCGAACGGCGCAGGAAAATCAACGGCCATCTCCCTCATCCGCGGCGATATCCGGCCTTCCAAGAATGGCGGCAACATCTACGTCGACGACATCCTCATCAGCAAACACCGCGCTAAAGCCCGCCTCCACCTCGGCGTCTGCCCCCAATTCGACGCGATCGACCAGCTCACCGTAGCCGAACACCTCCGCTTCTACGCGCGCGTCCGCGGCGTCCCAGACATCGAACAAAATGTCGCCGCCATCACCACCGCTGTCGGTCTTGATGCCTTCTCCCACCGCATGGCCGCCAAGCTCTCCGGCGGCAACAAACGCAAGCTCTCTCTCGGCATAGCCCTCATGGGTAACCCCTCTGTCCTCCTCCTCGACGAGCCTAGCTCGGGTATGGACGCTGCCGCGAAGCGTATCATGTGGCGCACCCTTGCCAATGTGTCGGCAGGCCGCGCTATCCTGCTTACGACGCATAGTATGGAGGAGGCGGGTGCGCTGGCGTCTCGCGCGGGTATCATGGCGAAACGCATGCTTGCTCTTGGTACGACGGATCATCTGCGCCGCGCACACGGTGACGCATATCACGTCCATCTCGTCACCACGACGGCACCACACACGAGCCCAAGGGAAATGGCCGAGCTGCGTGACTGGGTCGTCAATGAATTCCCCGGCGCCAGCATCGAGGAGAAGACCTACCACGGACAATTGCGTTTCTCTGTGCCAACAGCATCCTTAACATCCGATGCCGCATCCGGCGTTACCGATGAGATTGAAGGCGGGGGCGAGCCGATAGGGAAGAAGGCCAGCGGAATCGGAGCGCTGATTATGGCGTTAGAGGAGCGGAAGGCAGAGTTGGGACTGGAGTATTACTCGGTTAGTCCGACGACGCTGGATCAGGTGTTTTTGGCGATTGTGACGAAGAATAATGTCGAGGAGGAGAATTATGCAGCGCCGAAGAGCTGGCTAGGGATTTGGAAGATACCCTGGGGAAAGAGGAGAGCTGTTGCGGATAGTCCTGTAAAATAGGGGATGCGTAGGTGGATAGAGAGGGGGTGGGAGATATTACGCATCGGACGTAAACAGATGTTTCATAGGGAATTCAAACGGTATAATCAGTATGAATTGCTTGTTATGTCCGCACGGATAACACTTATACGATGCCGCCGGAATTAAAAGTCGGTTATTTCGAAGCTGCCGAGTCGGCCATCGACGGCCTCGATCCCAACCCCGAATCCCTAAAACTCCAAGCAGAAGTCTTCTACAACCTCGCACGGTATGATGAGTGCATAGAATGCCTGGGAAAACTCCCCAAGCCAGATTCCGCTCTGCTCGAGAAAGCCAAAACACGTCTCGTGGAGCAACAGACTGGGGCCTACGACTTCCGGAGCATCTTCGCCGAGCTCCCAACCCTCAACCCTCCAACTGTCAATCGAGCAACCTACATCGGGCCTGTTGATATTAGAGTCTCGCCAGGGAAAGGACGTGGTCTATTCACGACTCGCGCTGTCGAGGCTGGGAACTCCTCATGTGCGAGAAGGCGTTCGCATATAGCTTCTTCAACCAGTCCGCGCCGGCAGAGATGCACAAGACCAAACTCTACATGGTCTTCAACACCGAGGAGGAAAGCATCATCTTCGGGACCTTAGGCACGCTAATCACAGAAGCCGTGCAAAAAGTGGCCCGGAATCCGTCACTGCATGACTTCGTCTCTAGCCAACGGGAGCTACAAAGCTCCCGCCTTAAACAAAATCGACGGTCACCCCGTTATCGACACATTCCTTATTGAGCGCATAATATCCCACGACTGCTTCGACTTCCCCCCAACCTCGCTCATGGCCCACGTCACCCCCGGCTAGCCCAAACGCGCCTACTCCTCCGGACTCTGGCCCCTCTGCGCAACACTAAACCACTCCTGCCTCCCCACCGCACGCCGCACCTTCATCGGCGACCTGCAAGTCGTGTGCGACACCCGCGATCTCCCCGCAGACACCGAGCTCGTCTGGGCGTATAACGAGGTCTCTGAGGACCCGGCACAGACGCGTAGCGCGCTCGCGAACTGGGGGTTCGTGTGTAGCTGTAGTCTTTGTGCCGAAGTGGTGCGGACACCGGAGAAGGTGAAGGAGGTGGTTGAACTGTGGGGGATCGCAGGGTCGATAAGAGAAGGGTGGTCAGGGGTGGGGAATATTCTGTAGTCGAAATGGAATTTGTTTTACATTTATCCCAGACGCAGCCGTAAAGTGTTTGCTTGCTTGTTTTTCTTAGTTCTCGTCATCTCCATCACAGGTGCAGCTCGTTGGCTCCAGCGAGAGCCTAAGGCCTCAGTTTCAGAGAATTTGCACGCGGAGGTGAGGGTCTATTGCTAAAAGGGGAAACAGGGGGGGATTTCGTGTCGAGCAGCGTTCGCTTGCCGCCTCCGCCCCTTTATTTTCGCCTTATCCCCTTCCACACCCCCCCTTTATCTCCAGGCATAAAATATGACCCAGCCGAAAGGTTATAAAGTCGCCGAACCCCCATACTTCCAAACAAAGGAGTGTTTGGCGCAGTTGTATAAGCCTATTTGTAAACTTTCCACATAAACCTGGGTCTAGCACGTCCAGTGGGATACAAATCACCAACCGGTTCGAGTCCGGTACATTCCATTATTTTTTGCTTTTTTTTCACCTTTTATTCAGTTGATTGAATGATACTATCCCCAATGATTGATATTCGGCCGACAGCTCCCGCAACCATGCCCCTCCCAACTCCTTTTTTTGCCACTATCCTTATTCTTCTAAAGGTAAACATGTACAGTAATATAGTATTTTACAAAGTCTAAATACCAGTTATGATGATTATAATTCATTTTCATGCCACATAGAGAAGACGTTCCCTAAACATCCATCTAGGGTGCGTCATAGGGAACCTAGACCACCGGGAACTTTGACGGTGGAGTTGAACCACCATTCGGCCACTCTTCTTGTGTTCGGGGGGGGTGTATCATTGTATGCCTTGAGGGCAGAAATGAATCACCATTTCTATTTCAGTCATATAGGAACTTTGGTACTTAGTTGGTAGTCTCTATGATAGTGTCGTCCTAATGTGCAAGGTAGAGAGGGCCGCGGATGATTCTAATTGCTCAGAGGTCTTCCCCCTATAGGTCTTTGAAGATGTTACGGTTATAGGTGTGGTTACTATAGGTCTCCTTAGTGCTAAGTATTCACTCAGTGAGGATGTGATCCTTGAGCATATCCCGGAAGATAGATCTTGTAGTATTTAGGGCCTAGGTCTAGGTCAGTGTAGCAAAGGAGTGGGTAAGTAGGCTTTCCATAAGTACTAGGCCGTAGTTCGGAAGATGGTCAATTTAGGTGGTAGAAAGGGGGACGGACTAAGGGAATCCTAGACTGTCTTTACATCCTGCCATACTTCAGTCATAACGTCATAGGAGACCCATATGTGGTCTGTAGTGAAGTCGCATTGGTGTATTAGGCAGAGTTGCTGCTCTTCTAGTATCCATGTGAGCGTTTTCCCTGTTACAATAGTGGCATGGAGGAGCCTCTAGAGAGGTCTCCTACTTTATTATAGCTGTATTTGTCTCTAGCTATGCGCCATAGAGAGGATGGGGTTTTAGTAATGCTAGTGACCGCTTTAAACGCTACGAGGGACCTGCAGTTTTATATGTGTAGTCTGTATTGGCTAGTCTTCACAGACGTAGGATTTTGTAGGCTTGTGTGAAGGATAGTTTCCATAGGGGTATCTTCTTCTTGTGCCATTTTATGAGGAATTCATCTCGTAGGGGGTGACACCTCTCATACGATGAGAACTCTCAGTTTTCTTAGAGCAGTTACTTCCATTGTTGGGGTATTTTATCCATTAGACATATGATGGCTCGTCGGGCTTCGTTGGTCTTTTGAGAGGTAAGTCCTGTAGGCGGAATAGGTCTCTCAATATCTAGGTCCTAGATGTCTCCTAGTTTCCGTGCCCCTGATTTCCATAGTAGTTGCCAGATTCCAGACCCCCATCTTCATGCTCTAGATCCTCCTCTCACTCCGATTTGGATATGATACCATATAGAAGTAGTGAGGATCTCCTGTAGCGAGGTAGGCTCTTGGATTGTGACGACACCATTGCTGGTGTTCTTGTTGTACATTTTCCGCCATCATATCCATATATTGTTAAGCTCCTCCGGAACTTTATGAGAAGCTGCATAGCTAGGGGCAGCTAATGGCTGTAGTGATGAGGGAGCTAGCGTTAGAGCTTTGTATAATGACTTCGCGTGCAAGTTGTACCCATGGTAGGTCGGGTCTCTAGAGGCATCTTGCGACCATCGCTAGGGCGTTTGCATTAAGTATGCTTTCTAGATCGATGGCTCCTAGTCCCCCTTGTTCTGGGGGTGCGCAGGCTTCTAGATTGCTTATTGTTCTGTTTAAATGGTCGTCCTATATGAGTCTGTAGTATTCCTTCTCTAGGTGTGAGAAAGCATAATGCATATCGAGGGAGGGACATCATAAGGGAGTTTGTGATGAGCACTCTCCCTTTGATTAAGAGGTAGTACCAGGGCCATTAGGCAGCGGTTTTCTTGAATTTTTAGAGGAGGGTGTCCTAGAAGCTGATGAGCTGCTCTTGGATATCAGTTTCAACTAGTATTCCTAAGTATAGGTACGGATTGTTAGGCGTAACCTCCTAGACGTGTGGGACCTATATCAGGACAGTTGCTGATTCGTAGTATGAAGGACTTTGCCTAATTGATGTTAGAGCCAGAGGCAGCAGAGTAATCGCAGAGAATCTACGAGGTCAGATCTGCTTCGGCTTAGGTACGTATGATAATTGCCATGTTACATATATCATGGATTTGATAATATCGTGTCTGATTCTAGCACCTATAATGCCGTCTTCCTGCTTGAGGCGTTGTGCAAGGGATTTAATGACTGATATGAATAGAGGGCAGCTAACAGGGTCTCCTTGCTGCACTCTGCATCGTATGGGTATGAGGGGTCCATAATGGCTGTTAATGAAGACTTTGACCATGGCCTCTTAGTAGAGGAGCTTGAGCCAGTCAATGAATTCTTGTGGGATTCCTAGTCTGGCTAGGATGAGCCACATGAACGCATGGCTAACTCTATCCAAGACTTTTTCTTAGTCTGGGAAGAGTATCACTATACCATCATGTTAGGGTTGCTTGTGCCTCCTAATGAGGTATTGTATCATTCTCACGCTGTCATCAATGAGCCGTCCTAGAAGGAAGGCTGTCTGATGGATTCTAAGTGTTGTGTTAAGTCCTTTAGTGGGTCATTTTATGAGAATATGTGTGAAGAGCTTATAGTCCACGTTCATAAGGGTGAGCAGGCAGTAGTTTTTCAAATCGTTCTGTTCTCCTTTGTCCTTGTAGAGTAGAGTAAGAATACCATCCGTCTAGTGTTAGGGGAGGATCTTAGTTCCTAGATCTCGTTGAACAGTTCAAGAAGTTTGGTCTTGATGAGGGGAGGAGAATGTAAGGATGCCTTCTCATCTCTCATTCTAGGGAGTAGACTCTGGGTAGCTGCGGGGTTACGTGTGATCATTTGGGTGGGCTAACCGAGTCGGAACCGAGTCGGATGGGTTTCGGGTACTTGAGACAATCGACTCACGGGGTTCCCCCATCATCTTTTTTGTATCCTTCATAGTAGACCTATAGGATAGCATCCGTTTAGCATCCGACTCACACTCTCATATGCTATTACTGTGAGCTGGGTGCCCTGTGTCCTTACAATAAGACATGATATTTGAAATAACGTGCATGTATAACGAAAGTGCCAAACAAGCGAAAGTGCCAAAATCATGCAGTGACCAACCCCCCCAACTAAATGTTAAATTCCTCCACAACAAAACATGCGCCATAAAAATGATGAAAGCAAATTAGTGCTAGCTATCCAAGCTATGCAAAGTGACCCAAATTTGCGCCTTCGAGTTGCAGCTAGGATCTATTCCGTAGACCACCGCAAGCTACGTCACCGTTTACAAGGCATACCTTCACGATGCGATATCCAAGCCAACTTACGGAAATTAAGTAACCTAGAGGAATCAGTTCTTGTTCAGTATATACTTGACTTAGCTGCTAAAGGGTTCCCTCCTCAGTTGTCTATTGTTGAAGATATGGCAAATCAACTACTTGCAACACGCGACACGCCACATATGGTCACGTTGGGCTTCAAACTTTGTTAAGCGCCATGTAGAGCTTCGGACACACTTCGGATACAACTGCAATGAAAATGTGAATGCGATTGGGAGGGAATTCCCATCTCCGTATCATCCTATCGGCCCCACGATTGCTGGCATAATTGATTGCCGTGAAGGTCACGAGAATCCGCTTGATGGCTTTGTCATTGAAGAGGGAGCAATTCCAAAGGCACTGGCTCCATTATTTCAAGTAATGCTTGGGTTGATGCCAGGTACCGCCCACCACGACGTTAGCGTGATTGGTAACGTGAGGAGCAAGCTTGCGAGTATAGGGAGTCATATACTTGGTCCGTATTATCAGAAAGGTAGTGTTGAGAAGCTGGGTGCCCTGTGTCCTTACATTACTGCCATATAATAAGGAGTTGCTCTACCTCTAGCTACTGTCCAACCTGTAGTCATGATCCTGTAGGTTGTACAGCTTTGTCTAGATCTTTGAAATGTGAGCTTAAAGACT